ATAGGCCCCCCTCCCCCCCCCCCCCTCCCTCGCACACCAGGCCACATGCCCTCGGCAGTGGGAGAGTGCTTTTCCAGGATCACCCCTGGAAAAGCACCTTGTCCCCGTGCCAATGGGGACAAGGGCCTCGCCCCTTTAAGTCAGGAGGAGGGGGGAGAATCAGTATTTGACTGCACACTTACCATTTAATATTCTAGTTCATATTCTTCTAAATAGTATTTTATATGCAACTAATTTGCATATATTATTTAGTTAGAAATTGAAAATTGAAAAAAAACTTGGTACAATCAAGTTAAAATGGTAGTATACTCAGTTCATTATGAAATAAAATAATTGATCTATATGGAAACAAGTTGCTTTTGAACAATAAGAAAATACAGTATTTAAAGGGGTTTTAAAACTGAAAAAATGGTCATAAACAAGCTGTAACCCTTTAATAAAAAATTTGATAGTTGTTTTTGAATGTGTTCTTTTCAGTGAACCAGTTGCTATAACAATATACACCCATATTTTTAAACAGATCTAGGAGCTCCTTTCCTCTACTGGGATCATAATGAAAATGACAAGACTTCCTACTGTGTGGAAACACCATATGGATTCCAGTTGGATTTGGACTTTCTAAAATATGTTGATGATATCCAGAGTGGTCAGACTTTGAAGAAAATGTCTCTTAGCCGAAAACCAAGAACAACACGGCGCTCTACATCATCTTTAAGAAGCCTGTCCAGCCAAACTGGGATTTCGATTTCAACAGAGTCTTTGGATTATAGCGAGGATGGCACCTCATCAGATTCTGTTTTTTTCTCAAGAGATGTTGTAGACATTAGCCATTCTGGTGCCAAACAGGCTTTGGGTTTGAGAAAGTCAAATCCAATATCACCAACACCCTTCTTTAAACTTCTTCCGCCTCCACCAGCAAGGTCACTTCTGCATGCTCGTGCCGAGAAAACACCCGCAGAGGCTAGGAAAAAACAAGAGCAACTAAATGCAGATTATCAAAAAATCCAGTCTTCAAATCTCTCTAAGCTTAGTGCTGCCAGTAGAAGTTCACCCAATCTCAGTCAGGGATCACTTTCTACATTGCAGAATAATAAAAGTGGAGACAGATGTGCAGTCCTAAGTCCATCCTACATAGGATCTATGCAATTCAGTCCCGTGAATTCTGGAAGAACTACTCCAGTCGACAATTCCTCTTCAACTCATCTTCAGTATATTCGGGAACAGATGGCTGCTTCATTGAAGCAGCTGAAAGACCTTGAAGAGCAGGTAAAAGTCATCCCTGTCTTACAGAAGCATATTTATACACTTGAAAGAGAGAAAAAGCAGCTTACAGATGAACTGGAGAAGCACAAAGCAAATGTGAATGGCATATTATCAAATACTGATTCTAGCCTCCTTGAGATTGATTTGAAGAAAAAGCTTGATGCTATATCTGAACATGACATAAAAATGGAAACTGGAACATCCAAATCTGAAATTAGATTAGAGTCTGGAATATCTAAACCAAGTAAAATTACTGAGCTGAAAAGACTCACTGAGAAATTAACTGATACAGAGAGAAAAACAAGTAATGACATAATGGCAACTGACAAAACACTTGCTCGTTATCCGGCAGTGAAGGTAAAGTCTAGAAAGTCTGTAGCCATTGGGGAGAACATTCCTATGTCAGAGTCTGTATTTTACTATAGACATGAAAATAAAGATGTTGCAGTACAATATTCAACTAAAACAAAAGATGTTGGTGTTTGGGTAATGGAATCATTATTAGGACTGACATGTGAAGCTGAGAAGGAAATAGAGATTCTGGAACATACAATAGAACATCAAAGAGCTGTTATCAAAATTCTTGAAAATAACCTTAGGGCTGCCTGTGATGAAATGGAAGATCTAAGAGTAGCTGTCTCCACCAGAACAATCATAGATGTGAATCCAAACCCAGTGGAAGCATCAACAGAAGCAAACGGTTCAATTGTTAACAAGCCACCTGAAGAATACCTACAAATGGTGGACACAAGAGCGCTTTTTGCTTCAGAAATGTCTGCAAGTGGTAATAGCAGTCACAGTGAATTAAACAAATTAAACAATTTGGAAGATGTAACTGTTGCAGATATGATGACTGGATGTAAAGAAATAAGCATAAATGCATATTCTGAAGGACATTTAATACCAAATAGCCATGAACGTGACACCATAAATGTACCAACTTCTTCGGAGCATGAACTGACAATCTTAGGCAGAGATGAAGTTGATGGCGCTGACAACAGAGGTATGAATAAGTGTGATAAAGCTGGAAAAGATATCATGAATGATGAAACATGTGATGCTGGGCTTTCTGCAGGAGAAATGAACACAGAATTAATGCATCTTCAGAGTTCAGATGAAGTGATAGAAGATAATATTGATGAAGATACTGAAGGAAGCAGGACATTAAAATCTTTAGATGAAGTCAGTAAGTAATTTATTATTAAAAACATCAATATTACTATTTTTTCTATAGATGACTGACATTCTGAGACAGAACTTATATAAATATTTATTACAGGATGTAATAATGCCTCAAACTGCCATCCCAAACTGAGAGAATGGCAGCTGGCAAGGTCAGGGAAAGTAACAGAGTAAAACCAAACCAGAGAGAAACACAAATTAAGCTTTTCTGACATAGGATGGACTAGGAGGCATATTGTAGTATCTGCTTATAGACAGGGTGGGGGATTTATCCAAACTGGAGTAGACAAAATTTGGAGCAGCTCTACATGGCAACCAATCAGCTTCTTTCTTAACTTTTTTCAGTTAAGATTTGAAAATGAAAGAGGGAAGCTGATTGGTTGCCATGCACAACTGCTCCAGATTTTGTCTGCCCCAGTTTTGATCAATTTATCAAAACTGGAGCAGGCAAAATCTGGAGCAGCTCTGCATAGCAACCAATAAGCTTCTCTCTTCAGTTTTTTTTCAATTAAGATTTGAAAATAAAGAGAGAAGCTGATTGGTTGCCATGCACAGCTGCTCCAGATTTTGATACATTCCTTTCAGGACTTTTACTTTTAAAAGTTTAAAATGTAGCACAGTACACTGAAAAACAGTTTGTGATATTTAAAAGAAAATCTAAACAATATTTTTTTTTTCAATACTCGACGATACTGATACTGGAAGTCCCAGGCGGCATTTAATGACTCGCCACCTGGCTTCCTGATTAGCCGGGAAGCCGGGCGGTGTGTAAAGACTCGCCACCCGGGTTGCCGATTAGCAGGGAGGCTGTCTTCATGCTAGGTGACGAGAAAGCATGGAGCCGGCTTTCTGGCCAATCAGGAAGCTGGGCACCATGCAATGACGTGGCGGCCGGCTTCCTGATTGGCCGGGAAGCCGGCTCCATGCCCTCTCGTCATGAGATGTCGAGGGAGCATGAAGCCGGCTTCCTGGCAAATTAGAAAACTGGGCGCCACATCATTGCACAGCGCCCGGCTTCCTGATTGACCAGCTTCCCGACCAACCAGGAAGCCGGGCAGCAAGTCATTACATGCTGCCCAGCTCCCTGATTGGCCGGGAAGCTGGCTCCGTGCTCCCTCATCACAAGTGACGAGGAAGTATGGAGCCGGCTTCCCGGCCAATCAGGATGCGGGCAGCGTGTAATGACTCACTGCCTGGCTTCCTGATTTTGGAAGCTCAAGTATCAGGCTAGGTATCGGATCATTTGGGTGAGTACGAGTACTCGCCCAAATACTCGGCATCGGCACCGATACTAGTATTGGTATCGGTGCATCCCTAATTTTCATTGTTTATAACTGTTGAGATATATAATATAATGTTTTCATGTAAGTTGTATTTTGCCTGGAAATCAACTGTAAAGTAAACCTAATCCTGTAAGTTTCTTACCTAAACCAGCCCTGTCAGCAGACACTCCTAGTTGCCTGCACTTTAGGCCTATTTTCAGTGTAAGAATCCAGAGACACAGAATTCCCAGGTGCACTTATATGCAGATGCTTCCTGGGTTAAAGTGATATTAAACCTTTTTTTTTTAATGAATGAGAGGCCCACAGGTTTGTAAATCATGTGTTCTTGTTTTTTAAAATGTTGTATTTCCTCGTTCTCTAGTTGGCCCCTGAACCGCTCTCCCCCCTACCTGTGTGCGGGTGCCTCCATCAGCTAGTCGGCTGCTGAGGAGGCACCCATGTATGCCCGTTCCTGGCCCGACCCGTCCTCCCAACATGTGGACTGATAGCAGAAGGAGCCTATGACTCGTCTGTCCTCAATACCCTCCCCCACAACCAGGAAGTTTGGGGAACGGAGGATAGCATCATGGACCCGGCAGCGGTGCTCACAGGTGTAGGGGCAGGACAGGGGACACAGAAAGATACTGGCCGCTTTTTACCTTAATGCAAAAATTGCTTTAAGATAAACAACTCCTAGCCTTGTACTAATTTAAAGGGTCCAGAGACTGGCCCCGATCCCTCCTGCATCATCAGCCTCACCTTTAGCCAAGAATAACATTAATCTGGGCATGTAAAAAACTTACAAGATAAAATACCTGATGTGCATTATTATTATTACAGGTATTTATGTAGCGTCAACAATTTTACGCAGGGCTCTTAAATAATGCATATTCACATCAGTCCCTGCCCTCAAGGAGCTTACAATCTAAGGTCCCTGTCTCACATCCATACATACAGGGACAATTTAGACAGGAGCCAATGAACCTTCCAGCATGTCTTTGGCATGTTGGAGGAAACCGGAGCACCCGGAGGAAACCCACACAAGCACAGGGAGAACATGCAAACTCCTTGTGCATGCTTTCAGAAATTACTGCTATGTGCTGACAGCTCTGGATGGGTAAGGACTTTGCACCGCAGGTTTACTCTAAGCTTGATGGCTATAAAAAGGACAACATATATTGGTATATTGCTATATGTATAAGCTGTTATGTTCTTTCTTTTTCTTTTTCTTCTAGTTATGAGTTGTGCTCAGGTTCTTGCCAGCTAAGGACTAAAAGTAATGAAAATGCCAGATGGATAGTGGAAGCCATCACTGTTGACCTCAGCAGTCATAACTTTGGTTATATTACTGATTCCTGTATGCTTACTATAGTGAAGACCATATCTTAGCAAAACAAATATTTTATAATTACTGGTGTTTTTATAATACCTGCCTTTTGTAATATATTTATGTACTTAACTCTAATCTTGTTGAAATGCTTATAAAACCTCACAGATGTCAACCACATCATGTCTCTTCTGCACATTTGCTTTTATCCAGAAGGGGAAGCCTTCCACACAGGGATGAAGATATAGTACAGGGTCCTTGCTGGAATGGTTTGTGGCAAATATTAAAAATAAAAAAAGGCTGTGTTATATATATATATATATATATATATATATACTGTATATGTAAAAACATATGAGGGGAATGAGCACATGTTAACTATTGTGTTACCCGATATTGGCACTATGTCCATTAATGTATGCTATGAGCTGTTAAATATTTAGCATTTTGCAAACTAGAGTAGGGACTGGCCAGAGAGTTGCAGTCAACCTGCTGCAATATATACAGGTGAAACTCGAATAATTAGAATATCGTGCAAAAGTAATTGCAGTAAGTGCTGCAAAAGGGGCCCAAACCAAGTACTGAGTACATATGCATGCTTGTACTTTTCAGAGGTCTGATATTGTTCTATGTACAATCCGTGTTTTATTGATTGTATGTAATACTCTACTTTTTTGAGGTTGTGGATTTTCATGAGCTGTAAGCCATAATCATCACAATTATGACAAATCACGGCTTGAACTATCTTGCTTTGCATGTAATGAGTCTATCTCATATATTAGTTTCACCTTTTAAGTTGCATTAGTGAAATAAATGAACTTTGCACGATATTCTAATTATTCGAGTTTCACCTGTATTGCAATGTTTCCAGGTTAAAAATCTCTGTTTTAATTAAACCTCTGCTAGACGTATGCAAGGGTGTATAGCAATGGGCATAGAGTTTATTGAGAATTTTGAATGTGGCAATTCTGGAACAGACCAAGCTCCACAATCTTTGTACTGGGCTACATTTAACTGGCAGGACACATGGAAACTATTGCAGCCCTAAATGTATTTTAAACACCACACTTGCCCTTTAAAGCAGTGGTCCCCAAACTGCGGCCCCATGGTCCGGTTACAATGATAAACCAGCTCCTGCAATAAGAAGGTCCTACATGCAGGAAGGAAGGGGTTGCTGATTGTCAGTGGCGACTCTAGTAACAATATATAGGGGGGGCACATAACATACCACAGTCAAAACTGGGGGGGGCACTACAAATTTTCACCACTAAATCATACCACAGAAAAAATACTAATAAAGTATATATAAATAAATGGTCCTGAAATGTCACTTCTATCCAACTTTGTGACTGTGATCTCACATTCCACCGCACTCAGAAAGTCGGATAGAAGTGACATTTCAGGACCGATCAGCTGTTTCAGGGCACATCAGGTCTTCTGAACATACGATTTGCGATGCCGTTTTGCCCTGGAACAGCTGAGAAAGCGTTGGAATGCTTCACCTATTGGTGCATCGTCATAAACAAGTAGAAACAGAGACACCGGCACTCCAATTGCGAATGCATAAACGTCTATTTATTGACAAGGTGCAGCATATCACAGGTAATGCAACAAACGTTGCAGGGTCACGCAGGATCCCGTCACTGCCTCATACCGGTGCTTCTGCTGGCTTTGAGCCGGCTTCCCAGACAATCAGGAAGCCGGGAGGCAGGTAATGACTTGCCGCCCGGCTTCCTGATTTCCCGGGAAGCCGGCTCCATATTGTTTGGCCGGCTTGATTGTGATTGGCCAGGAAACAGGCTTCCCAGCCAATCAGCATCGACCCGGCTTCCCGGCCAATCAGGAAGCCGGGCAGCGAGTAATGACCCGTCTATATATGGTATATATTCATTTTTTGTATCATCCCCCAGGTCCAAAATTATGAATACTGAGATAATTCTGAAACTAAGGTTAATTAGAGGGATGAGGTGCAGGTCATTTGCTCATTATCAGGCCAGGCAATATTTGGGGGATTAACTGAGGTTGTCCAGTGATAATTAATTGAAATACTGGCTTATTTGGGGTTTTTGTTATCCCCGCTGAAAAACCATTACCCAGCCCGATCTGAGCAGACTGTGGAATGTGAAGGATTTTCTTTTGAAAATCTTTAAACCAAAAACATATTGATGTCTAATCTGTAATTGATTCAATCATACCCAGAAGTGGCTAATTTCCAGCTAGGAGACAAGGGGCTTTCTAATTAGAATTGGGGTCCTGCCCAGGCCTCATTAACATCAGACTGGCCCTTTGTTTAAAACCTTTTAGGGAACTTGTAAACATGT